TCGATTTTTGTTTCATCTCTAACGTACAGTTGATACCAGTGAAGTCAAAAGGGGCGTGGGCTTTGGCCCGACGCCTGCTCCATTCCGACCTCTCATTGAACGCTGAAGCGAGCAAACTCAGCAATAACGCTTGTAGTTCCCCCTCACCCCGTCCCCCGCCTCCGCAATTACAGTAACATCTAACATCAGACCTGCTTGTCGTAGTTTTGAATGCTATAGGGTGCTTGCGCTAACAATGCTACACTATTTGAAAGAGTTCTCGCAACTGATTTTGCAGCTGCAGATCGGTAGAGTTCCATGATTTTCAGGTGTAACAGACAATCATGGAAAAACAGGACGTCCCGACAGTTCAGGGCTCCAATGAGAACTGGGAAGATCTCAAAATAGGATTGGAGGAGTGAAGCGCGGTATGCTCACATTTTTCAGCTCGAATTGGGGAAGAGAACACTTAAGGGGCTCTACCCAACAGGAACTGCTTCTGAGCCCGGAAGGGAAGGAGCTCCGGGATGGATGAATCAATTTTATTGCAGAGAAACAGAATTCTGCCATAAGGTAATGTTGCTGTTCGCTCAACGGGTCCTTTGAAGTCCCCCTGCCTCCATCGTCTAATCAACCCATTTCTCCTCTAGTTTTCTTTCTAAATCTAGCCAGTCGGGAACACAAACCTTTAATCTTTTACCCTGTGTAAGTTCTGAATCGTGACAATATTGCTTTAGGCCTACTGTTGGTAGCACTTGCAGATAGCATGTGTAACAGATACGTACTGATCGCAGTTGATCAGGGAGACGGTCAACGACGTGGTTGGGCTGCAGGGGCAAGTTCGCGGGACCCAGAGTTCTGAGTTATTAGTTCTAGCACAGTTCAAGACGTGTGGGCGAGACGATACCACGCCGGCATGTCTAATTCTGCGTTCATACTTTGCGTCAGCGTTTTGAGACAAGTAAAGTATAGGTGTCGATATACCGTGCGCCAGCGTACGGCAGCGTTTTTAGCGATTCGCGGTTAGCTTTGAGTTTCCGCGGACAGTCGCTGGAATTCGTGCTGTACGCTTCGCTGTCGCAAAGTGTGAACGCAGCGTAACCGAGTTTCTTTCTTTCTTGCTACAAGAAGGGTACCTTGCGTCGGCTTCTCTGACTTTTTCGGAGCTCCCATAAGAGAAACATTGGTCTGAAAATCGTTTAAAATGAGATTCAGAAAAATCTTATGATTACTCATGTGAAGGAGAAAGGCTGGGTAGTGGATGCTGATATTTGCCTTTGTGACGTATCGGACTACGGAGGTGACTTCCTGATACGAATTGAGTCCTGGTGCGAATGCCGCGCGCGCGACACCGTTTGGAGACGCGTCGCCGCAGCGTGGAATCAACGACCAACACTACTCATTTGGGGCATAGTATTCTGCTTTGCAATGTGAATAGACCTTCCCACAATGATAAGTTTGCAATCCTGTAAGTGGTAATATCGTTACTCACCAAGCTGGGCATAAGCCTCAAAGGTTCCGCTGTCAGTAAATTAGTTTCCGATTTCGTTGTTGCAACTTCATGAGCTGACGGTGGCACAAACGGTATGAAATCAACGGTATCAAACAACAGTTTTGCAAGTAGTAAAGCGGCCAAAGCGATGAGAACTGGAATGAAAACAAATAAGAAATGACCCTCCATCCCTGGGTATTCCACGATAATCGGATGGGCGGGGATTCCCAACCACTGCGGTCGGCGTTGATGCGTCCCTCATTTCTACTGTACCAAAATGAGTGGTTCATGATTACTCTCCATACTAGAATGAGAGACCGTGAGTGAGGAAGAGCGGTTGTGTATCTCCGCCCACTCACCTATCAAAGAAATCATTCCTGACAGAATCGTTGGACTAACCGCAAGCTATGAATATTCTTTCCAAAGCAACGGCGATCATATGACACCATCCAAACCCTGCATTCCTCCACGTGACTGCTAGCATACATCGTGGAGAAACGCTGTTGGTGTGAGTCTGCAAGAAAGTAGGGATAGGAGCTGATGAAGGTTTCCACTGTATACGCCATGCATTCCTCCCACTGGGAAATGCACAGGCATTTGACTATCCCAACCAAAGCTCATTGAGGGGTTGGACTACGATCGGGCCTGGGCCTAGTTCGCACGCGCCCTCCAAAGCAGAACAGAGCCTTTGATCGCTTTCCTCGGAGCCTGTTCTTCTTTTGAATTTGGCCTATACGGCTACCCAAGTTATGAGGCCCATTATCCTAAAATTATGAAGAGTACCCACCGCGAGATATCGTCTTCCACTGACTCTCACACTGTTAAAGTTATTCAGAGCTAAAATTCTCCGATAGAAGTTCGTGCGAATTTGTTTCGACATGCCCTTCACCTGAAATGAAGTTTTTTTTATCAATTCATCATTATTATTGTCGTACTTATGATGATGTATCTTACCTACTAAAACTAAGTAGGCATTTGTCTGTTTGTTACGAAATTCGCAGCGCTTGCTGCAGTATCAATAGGACTTTGAGTGTAACAAAGGTAGGGGTGTCACAGAAACGTTGATAAGAGACTAATAACAGCTGATATTAGCTGATAAGGGTTAGTAACATGGGAGTCACCAAGAGCACAGGGCTCGCGTTAGCGACAGTGGAACATTGGATCCTAAAAGTTATATAAGGAGTGGCAGAGAGACCTTGAGGGTGGGTGACAGGAGATGATAACAACTGACAAGGGCTGATAACGTTCGTTAGTATGAAAGGTTCATCAAATTCGTAGCTGCCGTAAAAATAGTGGGACTTTGGTTGGACTGAAACAGGAAATGCTTCGGGAATACTGTATTAATGGAAGACTGATAACTGCTGATAAGGAGTAATAACATGCGAGTTCCATCGAATGCATAGCGCCCGCCACAGCAGCAGTGGGACGTCGATCCCGAAAAATTAAAAAATTCCTAGAAATTATGTAGCGATTGGTGAAGAGACGTTGATAATGGGTGATAGGGTAGGATAGGATAACAATCGATAAGGGCTGATTGATAGGCGTTAGAATGGAAGGATCATCAAATTCGTAGTGCATGCCATGAAAATAGTGGAACATTGAGCCCAGTCCATAAAATAGTGGAATATTTAGTCCAAGAAATTATCTAAGGAACAGTTTAGAGACGTTTATAATGGATGATAGGAAGTGATAACATCTGATGGAAGCTCGGGTGTTACACTGGAAGGGTCATGAGATTCACAGCGTCCGTTACAACAAAAGTAGGACGTTGGTTCTGGAAAATTATAAAGGACCGGTATAGGGACGTTAGTAGTGGATCATCGAAATTGATAATAACTGATAAGGGCTAATAAGGGGCGTCAGAATGGAAGTGTCATAAGATTCATAGCGGCCGCCACAGCGAAACTGGTACTTGGTTTCAAGAAGTTTTATAGGGATTAGAGAAGTTGATGGTGGCTGATAGGAAGTGATGACAACTGATAGGGGCAAATAAGGTTAGAGCGGAGTTGGAGAGGGGTGAGACGTATAACTCCTCAACAGCTCATCTGACGAACTGCTTGTATTTCCACATAAATTTTGAGGTTTTTTATAACCGACCCAGAGAAAAGCACGGACGAACCCGACCCAGAGAAAAGCACGGACAAACGGAGAGGAAGTGGTAATGTCCGCAGGGACTAATTTTATATCAGCCA